CATTTCACGTCACTGAGTCAGCTAAAGGTCGGCTTGTTACACTAACCATACACAGAATGACGGTGACGCCACGATGTGAAATCCCGATAGGGCAAGCCAGTTTATTTTGGCGATAAAAAATAGACTGGCTCATTTTCTTGAGAAGCCAACGTGAGACACTACGCATTGAAATGCCGGACAACGGGGGCGCACTACACGAAAAGAAATCCAGAATAAATAGACCGACGCCACGCGACGCACTGCATACACGTCAAAAGCCGGGAAAGACCCCGGATATTTTCGACTGAGAGGACGGGACCATTCACAGACCTACGTATCGAATAACAAGCTGAAAGAAGCGCAGGCGTATTACACAGATCTACAGGGCATATATTTTGTATTTTAATCTCTATTCAGTTCTTATCGGAAGGATATCTTTTTATTCGAGTAGGCTGATAAGGTTAAGGAAGTTGAAAAGTACCGGTATATGTTTTGAGGGTATTGATTTTGACGTAAAACGTGTAAAATAAAAATAAAGAAAAGAAGAAGAGGGGAAACGATACTGGATATGCGTCACAGCAAAAAAATGACACTTGGGACACACCAAAGCTCAATCAGAGCTCGACGTTACTGTCAAAATCTGAGGCTGGTTTTTAAACTGGACACCTACGGTGACTCGAGGCTGTTCAAAACTGGTTCAATCCATTGTGGTTACATTACTCAAGGTTTTGGATCGTGGCCCATAAGATAACCCAATAAGAGACAGTAAAACATACACAGCTGGTAAGCTGATCGCCAAGGGACATCAAATGAATAGCAAGCGAAGTATTGCCACAGAGGGAAGACACAGCCCACTTCTAAAAGGGAGGGGATTAAAAATAAATCGAAACGGAAACCATTAATTTTCACGGGTTACCAGTCCCAGTTGGCCCCCTGCGTCCACCCACTGTGGCCTCTCCTCACACAGAGTCAGGGGATCATGATAAAGTGAAAACCTGCCCTCTATCGGTGACGTTGAGTCATGTACGAAATTCCCTGAACATTCCCGATATGTGTTGCACAGTGGCTCCTCTGTAAATGCGTTATCATGGTAATAGCGTTACTATGGTCACCAAATTTGTCTAGTCTATATGCAGACAAGTTCTAAAATCCCTCATAAAAAACATGCATGTACGACGCGACCGATCCAATTGTTTTTGGAAAAGTGCTGTAGGCCTGTAGGTCGTGTCAGAATTTTTTCATTTCTCTTTTCGATGTGGGCTTACGAAAAAGTTACGACAAGCTGTCACATCGAAGGCTTCAAATAGAGCCAAAAACATTTCGGATCCTGCCCTTAACTTTCTCTGGATTTCTTCCCAGGATTACGGTGCACAGTACAAGAGGAAAAATTTCGAAACGCCAATACAGAGCGCTCGGAGGACAACCACAATATGAATCCAGGTAATAATTAACATGGATTTTAACATGCAAAGGAGAGGCTGTTACTTTGTCTGGGGACTTGGGAAATTAAATCGCTCTACATGCTATATTTGACGACATTAATACAATACAAAGTACTGAGTAAACGCGTTTATTCAATGAATTTTCGGCCTTTCCTCTATACTTATGATTTTTCAGTCGGGTTTGATATTAGGGTCCTGGATTTTTTGAAACTTTTAGCTTTCACAGTTATTGGTGCGGCTTTATTTGAAATGTCGAATGCAGTAAAAAAACAAAACCAATGTTTACAGTCGTTCACTTCCCATAAACATCAGAGACCAGAAACAAAGTGGAAGGTTTGAGAACCGGCAACACAATGTGGGGTTATTAAGGTCAAAGGATGGTACAAATTGAAATAAAATTCCTCTCTTTCTTTCAGAATGGTGGTATCTGTGGCCTTATAGCACTTTCGGACCCCAACCCTAGGCCTGTCATGAACCATAGCGTGATATGCTTTGAGACATTCGGATGCTCTCTTGTACAATGAAGTGACAGACTATTTTTCAATTTTCTCCTGGTTTTTCGTTTGGGAGTGATCATCCCCCATATCCTTCACATTATATCCACCAAATCGAACAGGAAGGTGGAGATGGTTAAAAGCACTTTGATTTTTGTGTCTCGATGTTGCTTTTTTAAATTTAAAGTATTTACAGAACACTGTTGTCAATGGCAAGAAAAATATTTTGGGAACACACATCATAACTGATCAGCTCTCTCTCTCTTTAGCCTACAGAGATGCACTTGACCGGGTGTTAGTAAGGTCAGAACAATGTTTGTTCAGAATAGTAGGATGAATTTTCATTATTTTCTGTGACTTGTCGATTTTAATGTGCTTGTTACGTTTCAAAGGACCATTTAGTCGCACTTGACCTGCTGAAACCATACAAAAGCTAAAATCAAAGCGGGAAAGGTCGCAAGCCACATGAAAGAATCTAGTAAGATTCAATATTCTCATGAATCAGCAGTCATAACAAAATGACGTGCAGGAAATTGGATGTTCAAACACTGAGATGGTTGGTACCCGCACGGAGCTACTGTGTGACGTCATTGCGTCCAAGGAAGACGCGCGAACAGCGATTCCTTACCAAGAAACAATCCGACATTTCAGGCAACTTTAATACTTCAAATAATTAAAAAGAAATAGCATTGCGAGACATATCGACCGGCTTTACAACATTTTGACAGGAAAAGCGTGGATGTCGAATGAACGGAACATATGCGTATTATGTATTGACTTCAAGGAACGGTTAGTGTTTAGTGGCTGGAAGTGCAAGTAATGGTAAAGACATTCCAAGTGAGGGCGCTATATACTTTCAAGCTTCCAGAAAACCAGATTTTCTGCATTATCTACGACACTGGCATTGGTGCATTAATAAAACAAAACCGCATGCTTCGTTTAAGCGCACACCCCTCGTGGCTTTCTGGGGCCGTGTAAAGAGTTGAACCCTGGTAATTCCGAAAAATTCAAAAACAAAAACAACATGATAACTCTGGAAATAATTGACCAATGTCATCACAACTACTGACAAAAGGGCCAGACTTTTTTCATGTTCGAATAATTTCCATATAATGTTTGAGTGCAGGGGACCTTTTCCCACAAGATCCATGGCTGTATTCCCGAAAGAAAGAACCGTCTTCACCTTTCTATCTCTTTCAATCAATTTCCATTTAATATTCATCTTACTGATGGATCGTTTCCCCATGCAGAGTGTCCGATTTAAAAAAAAAATCAACCTACGGGTTCAGTTTGTTGGAATCGACTATATAAACCTCAAAACAATACCTAGTTGCTAAAAAAATACCACGGTGGGGGCTAGTCTCAACAGTAGGACAATATGTTCGCTTAGATATATCAAATACGACAACAATGGCAGCAGTACAATGCCTGAACAAAGCATCGCCGACTGTCACCCAACATTGAATGGATTCCGAGTAGGGACAGTAAACTTTTGATACACTGTTCAGGGGACGGGGCAGCTAGCAGACTGTCCGTCGTTCTTGCACGTAACAAGGGCTGACAAAAGAGTTCCCACAATCGTTCCTCTTTTTTTGTCGCCTGCACCTGCCTACACACACATGTTTACGTTACATACCTACTGTGGACATTCCTTTGTTTTCGTGCAGTTAAGAAAACTCAGTAAAAAATACTCATTTTTCTTCAACCAGGAACAAGATTTTTGGATGTTTTTGTTTTGTTTTTTTTTTGTACAAGGTTTCCTTGACTATTCCTCTTCCTTTTGCCACGGATAACCCCTACCCCAAAATGCCTCTAAACCCCTTTTCCAGAGAGGGGGACCTTGTGTGGACATGTCCACACAACGCCATCGTACCCTGCATTATGTGGACTTCTTTTGTGCAGAGGTCCACACTATGTATGCCACGCCTGCACACAATATAGAGCCACCTGTCTCATGCCGAGAAACTGTGAAATTACGATTGTTTCCGTTGGTTACTCTGCTGAGAAGAAAAAATTCCGACAGTCTTACTTATTCCTGTGTTTTGTCCATTAGGGTCTGCTTGTCCTGCGTTGAAGTCCGTTTTTACTCACCAGTGACTGGTAAAATAATGGCTGGTCGTCAGTACAAATGGAAACGAATAATTAATCAAAAATCCCAAAAATTCAGCCATAAAACACCAAGTAACAAACAGTACTACTAAGTGCTCAATGAAAATACGACCCTCCTTGAAATAGTGGGGCAAATTGACGTTTTGAAGTTAAAATCTGAAATCAAAGAAGGGTGACACTTCTACAAACTCTGATCGCCAAAACGATACATTCATAAACATTATTGAGCAGTCTTTACACACTCTGGGTTCCAATTTGATTCCGGCTCCCTATTCCTGTAAAGAAAATCGTGTTTCATTTTGTACGTTACTGTTCTGTGCGATAAAGTTACGGGCATTATGTCCAGCGGGGTGCGGTTTTTTTGTGAGCGATAAGCGGTAACTTTGCGGTAAGTTTCGGTCAGAGAACCGCGCAGCAGTTCGCCCTCCGGCTTCGTAACTGATCATGGCAAACAAATGGCTTGTTTGCTCGATTTGAAAACTGACAAATGACATAATATGAGATATCCAATCGCATAGAAAAGCCTTCGATCACTCAAGACACTTTTCAAGCGGTCCGGTCTTCAGAAATATAAACCGTTGAACGAAGTAATGAACTCCAACTTAGAAGCCTGTGCAAAGTCTCAACACACTTTAAAATCAATTTTGTGAACACCTTTAAATAATAGGTATAACATGTCCCACTAACTCCATATTAATCTCTTGTGGGACGAGTTCTTGGCACCAACCAGCGGAGAAGAATTCCTCTTATTGCTTAAATGGGTATAGAGGTCCTACATTAGAGGCTGTTCTCTTTTATTCTAATTCAGTTATAATGAATGAACAAAAATTTACTTTAGCCTGTCATGGCGATACAAAGTCCTTGCCCAACAACTCCGCCTCAACGCATTACCACTACACGAAAGCGCCCCTCTCGTGATGAAAAAAAAATGGCAGAGCAAAGCTAACTGTTACACGATATATTAGTGTTCGCTTACCTGAAGTTTAACTGTTTTTTCCCCAAAGATGTCAGCTTTTCCCGCCACAGCCGACGAATTCACCCAAAACTACGAATTGATATCCAGTTATAGCTCCGGCCAGTATCTTTTTATCAGGGTTGAATGAGTTCACTCCCTCTGTCGTTCCAGTTCGCGACTTCCCAATGGAGGTATATTTTCCGGTAAGGCTCGGCCACGTGCGGGTATTGTCTCGCACAGGCAGCTCAGCTCGACACTGCGAACAGCTGGGGTTGGAACCTGCGTTGTGCACACAAAATGGAATTATGTGCTCAGTGTTGTCTTTTCGACTCTGTTGACCGTACCATTGAAAAAGTGCTTACTCTCTTATACCATTATACCAACAAAAGTCCTGCCGTCCATCCAAGTCTTGATGCCTTACAGTGAAGGCTTGGCCGGACTGTGTCAATATTGTGGTGTCTTGGGAAAATATGGACACGGTGGGTGGAGTGTTCAAGCCTGCTGTTGAAGCAAGACTAATTCCTCGGTGTCGTGTCGAAAATGATTTCTCAGATAACCATGAAGACATCAGAATGTTCGCAAAGGAGCACATCCATTTAACGGTACCAGACGAGCAAGGCCTGCAGCGTCTCGATCCACTTATGTCTCGCCAACTAAAATGCGGGACGATCTGAATACCAGCCCCGGATAAAACGGTCTCTCTCGATCTCGGACAGGCCCGATTATCACCTTTCCAGGCATGGCTTCTAGCAGTTAGAAATCCAGGTCTGCCAGTCACGGTGCCGAATCTGAGATTACAGACTCCGCTAACGAAGGGCGACAAGATCGATTGTCCGCCACATTTTTGAACAAATCCCTGCTTAAGTTTCTCAGGGATCAACGTAAATCCAAGCGTAAGCTGCGGATTAAGTTGCACGTTATGCCAGTCCTTAAATCGATCTCTTGTCTCTTTTTATACCGCTATGAACAATACTTCTCTTAGCCAACAGATGGCGCTAGACACAATCTGTCTCGGCCATGAAACCTTAACTTTCTGGGCGCAAATGCTTGATGAATTGTTAAATTACTAAACTATAAGCTGGCAGAAGACTGAAATAAACTGCGATATCTTCTCCCATTTGATTACTAGGCCTATTAAATTTCTGCTTTATCATTAAAAAATTCAACCAGCATGAAATTTGCTCATGTACAATTACATGGTGTAAAACAATACAGTGCATAACGAAACATAAAAGCTAAAATGCTATTTTAAAAATGCTAAAATAAATGAGGAAACTTAGATTTATAAAGAGCAAGTTGGATTTCATCAATTAGCAATTTTTTCGTTTCTCCCTTTTCTCTACTCCTCCATTTTTACTTAGATGAAAGAAAGTTTAGAATTGAACTGAAAAATATCAAACAGGAGAAATGTGGAGTTGGGAGATATCTTTTCAGCAGACCCGTTTTGATTTCTTCTTTTCCTCCATAAACACAAGAAACCTGATTCTGTAAAAGCACGTAATGTGATTAAGGGAAGATGTCTCTTATTTCTTGTAAACCAGCCCTCTAAATTCGGGCTAAAAGTGGACAATGCTGAGGTTTAGTAACTTGAACAAAAGCCAGATCAAATCATTTCCCTACAGAATCTGCTGACATTCACTACTGCGTTTCCAAGGTTTTTTTTTCTGTCTTTCGTTCACTTTTTTAGAGGATCGTGGCTCCACAGGATTCTTTAATGTGGGCGTTAACTCTGAGACCTCCCCTGTGAAAGAGGCAGCTGCATGTGTACAAACGCAGAAAATATGTCAGTCCGCGGAATGAAGAAATTAATCACAGAAATTACTCTGCAGCAGTTGGATAATGGGCTAAAGAGCATGTTAAACGTGAAAATTTCAAAATATCAAAATTTACCACGATATTGAACCTGTACGAAGCAAAAGGCGACTTGAATTGGCACTTTGTGAGTTCCAACGAAAAGTAGACACATGGGATGGCACTGACGGATTTTTTTTTTTTTGGCTAAGTTTTCTCTCCTTCGCCAATGGACTCTCGCATTTCTGAGGATCCTAATTAATATAGCTATGCAAAGCAGGCGATGAAACTTCTGAATTTCGTCCCGGGGCGGTAGATCCTTAGAAATCATTTTTTTCTCTCTGAAGTTTTCAACAGTTCACGACATAACCGCCAGCCGCAGCTGTACATACTCAATCCCACGTGCGAAGAGAAACGTCTCCACGAGTGTAGACAGAGGGCCAGGGTGACCCGTTACAAACCAGAACATATCCCCGGCAGAACAAACAAGATACCACGGGGGGGGGAGGACAGAGCGAGGGTTAAGTGACGGAGGTACTCGCGGCACAGGTGTGAAGTGTGTGATCGCCGAGGGAACTTCAGTCTTAAAGGGCCTACGAGATTTCACGTTGGGAATATTTTGTGGAACTTCCTACTTCTTTCGTGATACTCGAGTCATCCCTTTGGGTACTAAAAGAGCACTTACATTTTTCTTCCCACTTTTGAATCCCTCTCCTAACAAATGAGGGCGCTGTTACAATGACTCGTCTCTGGAGGACACTGGTTTGGGATTTTCTGTTCAAATTGCGAATCCGAAATTCATCGAAACTATTTTTTTAACGTCTGCTCATTGACCTACTCACATGAGCTGAACCGAGTCACCAAAGAAAATTTCAGACGGAAAAATCCTATATTATTACAAAATTTGGTGCTTCTTCCTGGAATGACGGTCACGTTTGGTCGTGAATAAGCAGATTCGCAACAACAAAATTCAACAGACACCCAAAATGCCCTATAAAAATATTAAACCGAAAGTTACAAGCGAAGACAAAGGGACATGAAGGTGGTTTTTACAAGGGCTCTGTGCGTCACGATTTACAAACAAAATTTACATAGGTCTATAAAGATATTCGCCCCACCAAAGTTTTCCAACCAGTCGTGCAACCTCTGTGTTTCATCCCAAAAGATCTCGACCAATTTTCACCGACAAAATTAATATTGCTTATTTACCAAGAAGTGCTACTTAGCAAAATTTACATGCTAAGAGAAGACACCAAAACGACAATCCAGACTATCGCAAATGATGCATATCTTGACGTGGAGCAGTTTGACTGGTATAAACCGATATTAGTTTGCTCGCACTGTGCTGCGCGTGCGCTGCAGTGGGATATGGCCAAAGCTCCACATCTGTCACGAGATTAAAGATACTAGGTGCACTTCGCACTTTTTGATACAACTACCGTCGTATCATGGTGCAAACTGATCCCTTAGTTTCGAGATGTGCGCCCAGCCCCTACATCCTAAAAATTAGAATCCAATGTTTCCTTCAAATTGATGTTTCAGTTCCCTGTACAGCGAGGAAGATCGATTTTCCGTGTTCATGCCATTTTCCCCTCGTTACGCGGTTCTTATTAAACTAACTTTATCGCAATTCCGCCTTTGAAACTTATAGAAGACCGACGACATTCGCCGACTCCTCGTCAATCGGGGCTCAGCGCCAGCGCGGGGTAAGATCGCCCCGTAACTGACGGCGTGGGGGCCCAGGCAAGGCTCGCTGGGACTACGTGCAAACAAGGCGTCTGTCAGACCTGAGCTTTAGGCCTTCGCGTCTGGGAGTCGGCGATGACGAATGCACCTCCAGTGGCCCATAGTCATAGGCACCGCCAAGGCACCACCAAGTGTTAGGTGCCTAATTGACAGCCTTTCTACGAGAACGATAAAGGATCGAGCACATTCATCACTGTTGGCAAGAGGTACCAGCTGGTATGCACACTGTACAACGGTAAACTTGGGGCATGGGCTTCTAGCCCGACAAGGGGTGTCTGGGGCCTCACCCCCGAAAGAAAACAGGCACCCAAACACACTAAAAAACAATAAGGTTTGACCGTTTTGGTGACCACATTCAAGAATTATTAAGAATTCAGCAACATGGTTCCTGAATTTTCAACTAAAAGTTATCTCAAAGGTTAGAAAGACCTTAAAGAATATTTCCATATTTAGAAAAGTCTGTATACTTTCACAAAAGTTCTTCACCCATTACCGTAGATAATTCTGTTGAATTTATATTCAATATACCTATATACTGATGACGTCACACTTTGTTTAAATATGCGCTCTCCTACGGAGCCCATTGGGTCCCCATTGAGAGACCACTGAGTATTACAAGACTAAACAAACAGTGGCGTCATCAGCACAGAGGTCTAATATTTTGTCAGGATTTACGGCTGTGCGACGCACAACGGTTTGGGGACCAGTTGTGATATTCGATGTGACACCGCATCTTCCACGGACAAGTACCATAAGCATATTGTGCCATTTTTTTAAGCTAAGGACTTCGTCATCATGATTGTGTCCGGAAGAATTAGGGTATTTTAACAATATGTACCTCCGAGAGAAATAGGCTAGTGGCTACCGCTACTTCCTGTAGACACGTGTGTTGCAGCTAGCCGTAGCCAGAATTTTCAGACATAGCCAGCTCCTCCCCTTACAATGTCTGCGCTTGCTGGGAAGGATTTATAAACGACCGTATCTTACTGCGGGAAAAGCCTGAACTTTCTCTGAACTTTAGAAGGATTAGTTGGCTGAAAAGTTGATTCAATTGCTCTCAGATATTTTCCAAAACCCGGTCAGCGGTCACATCGATGTCTCCACAAGCCATCCATCACCTAACTGAACAAGAGTTTGTATAATCAAGGCCACTGCCACCCGCATCCAAACCTTCTGTATCAAGGTGCCACGGTCATGCCGCCAAAGCGGAGCCCGGTAATAGCACTGCTTTGAGTCGCGGTAACAAAAAAAAAAGGTTGAAATGATATTTATATCAGCGGAGGGTCAGCTGACGTCGCGCGGTCCACTCTGGCCGACTGTTAGCGGTCAGCCCCGGGCGACAACTCGCAGTGACCGAAATCAGGTAGCATCAAACGAGGATAAAATTCCCTCTGTTAATTAAACATAAATGAACTCTTACAAAAGATATTGCAGATATTATTTTTCCAGTTTCTACCCCCCTTCAGAGAAATTGCTACAAATAATGTCACCCTTCAAATTAAATCTAGCATACTAGATCGGCCCTACCAACTGCGTCCAATGAAACTAGTAAATAAAATCAGGTTCGTCTCCCCCTGGCTCGGGTACATTTTGAAGAAGTGGGCAACAGGTGCAGAACGCCTCGTCTCACCTGCCAAAACTGGACCCCAAAGTCACGTTCCAAGTTCAACGTCGTTAATCACGACCGACAAAACCCTCCACCGGAAGATGGCCTGCCGCGCGTTTTTATTTGCGACCGAGGAATGGCCCCGCATGCGTGCCGTACGGAGCTCCGAAAACACGGACGAGAGGTTCATTAAACTTCGGCTCGGGTTTAATCCATCCGTCTACTAACGTCATTGTGACTACAGGAGGCACGTTCGGTGTGGTTTATTACGAAGTGTCTTTTCTTGGAGGGTCTTTAAGATGTTTCTCATACCGAACCGTCAGTTTAACTGCCAGGGTTGAAAAGGTCTTGTTATGGTATTAATGATAACGCGTTCAGAATCGCCACCGTCTTCCACCTCGAAATCCCGTCACTATTCCGGATCATCAAATTAACCAGAGTCATCTGGGTCATCCATTAAAAAAAAAACAGATTGAGAAGGGTGGACCGATGGGGGGGGGTTGCTGCAAGCCTTTAACTGAGCCGAGGGCGAGTAGGAGGAACGAGTGACGACCATAATCTTGCCGGTGATCGATTTGGCCTGGTGACCTGTGCACAAAATACATGTACATGTACATCCCGAATAGTACGGGTACCACGCAAAATCGACCAATGGTCGACCAAAATGGACGTCGCTCAAACATGCCCCTGAATTACTTGGCTACGACTACGGGAAACGGATTCGTCGTGCGACTTATCCCGATTTAACTTCAGTCCCAATAAGCCTTCTGCGAGTTAAATTTGAATAAAATCTGGTACACCTAATTCTTTGAATCAAAGTAAACATAACAATGCTAATTCTCCATACTAAAGACACTGTTGCTGTAACTTGTGGATACGGGCAAGCTTTTGCTGTACAGTTACATAACAGAAGCCTCGGGAGAAAAACACTGTTTTCAATTGATTAAGAGAAGCGTAAAGGACCAGTCCATTTCCAGAGATGGTGGCCGCTACAGCTCCCGAATCCCGAGGTAACATATGCAGCAAGGTATGAGACGGAGAGAAACCCCCCTGCTTTGTGTTGGTCATTGTCTCGCAGGAATCTGGGGAATTCCTTTCAGACATCTTGGGGGATGTGTTAAGTAACAATAGTCTGGAATGTGTACAGGGATTGGACATATTGGGGGGTACCCCTCGGTCTCATTTCTTGCTGGGTATACGAGGTATAGCAACGATGTCTTTAGACAGGGGGAGTCAAATTGTTGTGTTTGTGTGCAATCAGATAACTCAACGTACCAGATTTCATTCAAATTTAAATTAACAGACCATTCGGCACTCCTACACAGGGCACCCCCTCGTAAGCATGTAAGCAGCCAAAGAATGATCACAGTCGAAGTCGTTCACCTTTCAAAAAGTTGTTGGTAGATTTTTTTCCGATTTATTACATCCAGCACAGGTATTTCAGCTGATTATCACAGTTATTTAGGCACATGAGAAACGGAAATAAACAAGCATGATGCTTTAGGAGAAAACCTTTCAGGAAATGTTCAAAAAGGGTAATCGGGATGTTAAGTGACAAGTAAACTGTCGGGTAATTACATAATTGTCAATGAATCGAGACCCAGCTCATACGTCATCAAGGGTGAAGAGCTACGATTGGTTGACCACATGATGACGTTCTCGCTGCGGCCCGCACATCTATCTAGTAAAAGAAACCGTCCCACGCAGGAGATGTGCCGGCCCAACCATAAACCTACGGTCAGTCCAATATCACATTAAAAAAATCTCACACAGTTATAGTTCAGAATTACATTACCGTTGAAATGTACACAATAAATAGTGGTAGAATAGATAATTACAGAGTACTGCTTTTAATTAAAAACTGGTTAGCACACACTAGTACACCTTCCACAATGCTCACAGTCACGTTATTATACTCACATAATATCATGCTATGTGTAAGTTGTCAAATGCCATTATATCAGTATGGGCCTACTTGGTATTACAAGAATTTTTACACATAATTCAGTCGTATATAGCCATCAAAACGAAAATAAAAATGTCAATGACAAAAAAAAAAGTGGTTTCAAAAGAGAGTAACAAATTATCTATATAGGCATTAAAACAATTCGTAGGTTAACAATATTGTAAAATGTACAATTTGTGCAAATGTTGGAAAATTATCAACGAAAATTCAAAATCGCTGCGTCTTTGCCGTCATTATGCAGGATCCCCCCCTTTCCACAGATCGCCGAGGCTGTCAAAATCCCGCCTTACACTGAGGATCTTTTTTTTACATGATAACGCATTTTAATTATAGAGGACCATACCATCAGTCGTTGTTTTACAATCTGGTTGTCGAACTCAGGCGCGAATACGAGTACTCATGTCATATTTGAGGTCTCTTTCTATGATTTCACAATCGTTTGAAGAAATTACCACATCCAAAACAGACTCTACGGGGTTACTCAACATAGAAAAAAAGCTTATTGCTTATCCAAAGGGGATGAATAGCCTTAACTGCTAATTACTCTTTTCAGTTAAAAATTGACCGAAGTGTTTCGTGAGATGTTCGATAGAAGCGACTCAAGTGCTAATATCTATAAAATGAAGCTTTTAAATGAAGCTTTTTATGTTATACGGAACATGTAAGTAGGAAAATACCACACAAATTATTTTGGATTGGAAAAAACAATTTTTAAAAATTCAGCAGGCGCTTGTTAAAAAAAAAAGAATGTCAAAAGACTAAATACCTGATCCGTTCGCAACATGTACAGTACGCTATACAAACAACTCGAACTGGCAAGTATTTTCGATAGAGGTCGCTGTCTACAACAGGGCTGACGGGGAGCCAAAAAAGGCTTAAAAGGAGGTAATTTTAAATAGGCAAGTGGACAAATAAACGAGCTGCACTTTGGGTGAAAATATTAATTATTGTGATAAAAATGGACAAACACAGTTTTTTTTTAACATACTGGTGCAAAAAACGCACTAATGCACATAAGAAACTTCAACAGTTACCCTTAAATTCTTTTATGGGGGGTATGAGACCTTAGCGAGAATGGTGTAGCCACGAAACGGTGCGAGGGAGTATACAATTATTCAATATAACTTCGATTTTTGTCTTATCAAATAAAATCCGTCAGGTCTAGGAGTAAATTTCTGTCTTGATGTAAACGATATACGAAAATGGTCCTCAGTTGTGTTCGATGTTACGCTACACCCATAAAACTGGTAAGCATTAATGGCAGACTTGCAGTTCTTGTACATTGTACATTAGCAATGTTATCACACAAGCGAGGCTCAAGAATTAGCCATGATGTGACCGGACATACCTAACAACCTGAAGGAGCCGTTACAGTCGGAACATATGCAAGCACTGTTATTGTTAATGACAAACGATCACAGAGTGAAGTTGCCCACATGCACATGGTACAGCACTGTGCAAGATAATCCCACTCTCTCAAACCCAACTGGTATTACACTGGTATCTTGAGAATATATGTACATGTACAACCAAAGTACATTGCAATTACTACCCAAGTATTTTAACAGTATCACTGAAGACATGCACAATGCAACTTACTCATATCTCTCAGTGATGTTGGCTCAAGCGCGCGAATCCCGATGTGTTTCTTAATAACTTGATTTACAAGCTTCCCTGGCCCGGATGGGCTAACTGGGACGATAAATTAGCCAAAATGTGGATTCTGCTCACTTTTCACACAGTTTATCAACCCCAAAAGGCTTTATTTTCCTTGTTGGAGGTAAGTGTCACTCGGAGGTGAAATATCTGACGGTAAGTTCAATTTCAAAACAGTGCGGTTGCCAAAAATATCTCACCCCCCAAAAAAACAGCAGCACTAAGGAAATAATGGTTCATTCTGTGCATGATTTCGTTTAAAGATCGAACTTCATTGTTGTCAAACCTTTTCTTATTTACACTGTTATTTCTTTTTCTCTTTACATCTGTCCAAATTTCAGTTGAATCAGATAACACAATTCATTTTCTCCATTTACAATCCCCCAATTCCTTCCCGGTTCTTGTTTTAGTACGCGTTAAACGTGCAAGGGAGTGTTGGCGAACGACAAACCACAAATCTTATACTTGACGTGGCGGTGCACGGTGTCAGGTTATTCGGTATAATACTCGTACTTCCTGACCAATTACATCCCCGGCCCGGGCAAAGATGGCTGCCGTGCAAAATCTTTCTTGCAGCTCGACAACAGGTGGGGTGGGGGTAAGCCTATATATACAAGAAGAGTTCGCCTAACCCTCCCTGACCCTTCAAAAGCCATCGGAGGATTTTGAAGGATGCTAAAGGGTGGAGGAAGAAAGACGAAGCTCAGTTACTACATGTATTATTTTACATGGGTACCGATGCCCAGTGCAGGTACAAAGAGTGTGCTATTTTGTTGCAATGAAGGATTTTGGACGACTCAAGGCGGTTCCTAGAAAACATGCCCGGGAGAAACAAGGTTCAAGCCCGCATTGGGGTGAAAAGAACTGGGCCTATGCATTCTATGGGATCGGTTTCCAAAGTCCACGCGGAACGAAACACTATCACGTGGATATGAAGTAAAAAAAAAAAAGTCACGTACAACAAAAGTGTTAAATTATTTAATACCGCATGAATCTCCGGGATGCTATAAATTCGCATCCGGGCGTACAAGTTACCTAAACACCACCGTCATTTACCAGGGATCGTGCTCAAAGTTTCACTATTCTTCCTATAACCTACGTGGAGGGAAATGTACTCTTAAATTTGGTACCAGGGTCCAATATCCCCACAACAATAAATTATGCCGCTGAGGTTTTTTTTTAATTATCAATGAAAAGTAACCGCTCTCTCCAGTTACCCTTTTTTCATCACAGAGTGTTCCAACTGCCTGTATGCATGGAACAAAAACCTGAAATGCGTTACATTTCTGGCGGAGTAAAAAAACAAATCAATCAAAATCATTCACGCGTTTTGAAGGGCGGAGGGGTTCTGCACTCCCAGACTCGACTGTGTCCCTTCCAGATCATTCGAGATTTCTTGGAACCATCTTTGAAACTTCCCTGGCTCAATGTACCATCACATAAAAATCGTTGAAAAACCACGTGGACAGACGTGTAAAATTAACAGAATATTTGCTCTTAAGTACAGAAAAGCGAATAAAATTAAGCGTCCAAATTCTGATATTGGAGTACTGAGTGACAAACCTTTTCTCTGGAAAATTTCGATTCGTCCGAAATGACCTCTTCTACACGGTTCACGGAACACAGTACAAACAAATCGATGTGCGATAGTACATTAGTAAAATGGTACAAAAAGTACACAGTACTGAAAAATTTTTGTAACGTGGAAGGTTAAAAACGGTTTGACTGGAGACAGATGGAAATTCCTGAATATTTATATCTACAAAGAAGGAACAGCTCATTTCTTGACTGTCACGGCTCAACTTGAACCCCGGGTTGATAGCGTCGACGTGACGGTGACTGTTTGCATGTTGCCATGCAATTCGTATGGTTTATGGAGGCTTTTTGGCGGGAGAACAATTATTATTGTCAGCAGGCCAATTTATTATGTTTGAGCAGAGCAAGCGCTCGCACGCGACTAGAATGGGGGAAATCAAACCAGTCACTAGTAATCTGGGCAAAAGCTCTCTGGAGAAAGTTATTGTGCGTCCGCGATTGGGTTTACAATGGCGCAGACTCGCCACCTTGGCCCAGATTTTCGGATCTAATTCTTGGCATACTAGAATTTATAGAATGCTGTGGCTTTCAGGTAAATGACTGTCCTCCAAATAAAATTTTCAATTGCTAAATGTCTGAATAAATGATCGTTTTTCTGTGATAGCGTTCGGCAAAAGACTACACATAAGTGCCAGATTCTATTTACACATTTCGAACAAATAGAATTAATGCATCTGTAATAAATAACTCTTTTAAGAAGTAGCCCCAATCAAATAGATCGCTAGTATTTATTGTAGTAACGTCGAACACGTTCATATCAAATGGAAAAAGAAAATTCATCCCATTGGACTGTTTTTTTTTTCTTCATCCCAACAGCAACACAGGAAAAGCAGTCCTTATTTTGTTAATAAGTTCAGTGTACTGTTGATAAATTTGGCAACAAAAGTATGGCCAGCATAAAATTCCTTACAGGCGCGTCAGCAAAGAAAAGTAGCGTTACAACAGTCGACATGGGGAACACTGCGAATGATGGGCGTGATGACAATCATGTCACCTGGTAAGCCACAGCGATGACAGGCAGAAACTGACAAACAATGGTCGTATAAAAATGGCAAGAAAAAAAGATGCGACACCAACATGGTCAACATAAAATCAACAGAACATAGTTACCAATATACACTACTATTATTTACAAGCAAAGTCGGCTTCCAGCCCCGACTGGAAAAGCGTTCGTTAGCGGAAGAAATGAAAGTAAAAATGTACATCGGGACAACAGAGAAAGAGAGAGAGATTGTTTCACTTGGAGCAAGGCCACAATTCATTAAATGCTGCAAAGAATACAGCCCGTATGACTGAACACCACTCGCTTCCATAGGGAACTTCTCACCCAAGGAAATTTCAGTGTATATACAAGTATATTTTCAGATTTCCACATTTGATAAACTGATTTGACACGTCCTTCAGAGCAACGGAGGCCTAATGCTTGAACTTTTACGAACAACTTATCAGTGAGCGCGGCCAGTGCATACGAAGCGAGTCCGGCGGCGAGGGTTCCTGGAGTATTCTGGAGCAGCACGGCCGAACGCATAAAATTCAAAACAAAACCTCGGTTAGACAAACAAAATTTGTTAGGCCCATTGATATTAAATGACACCTAGAACTGAAGACACAGGCATTTAGGTACTGACCTTCAAGAGTTCTCGGTACAGACGGGTACACTCCGTAAACGCGCTACATTCCACCGTTTCGATTCGTCTGACTCCACGACCGGCAGAGAAAGTCTATACACTCTCACCGCGTACACGAGAACCCGCTGTTGGATTCCGAGGAGCGACGTCACGCGAACGCAATCGGCACGCACCTACAGGAGGTCCAATCCCCCTCTACCCCTCAAGGCAACAAGCCGACAATGGTGTAATTCCTTCAAGTTCAGCCGCAAACCCCAAAGACAAAAGCTCGAGCGATCGAGCGATGAGGTTTCATGTCTGTATTATATCCTAGGGCGCATTCTTTTTCTTCGTCCTGCGACTGAAAGCGGTGATCGGGGTGATTCTTACAACGGTAAGACAATCCCAGAGTAGCAAAAGCCGACTGCGCCTTGGCGGTGACTCGCGGCGTGTTATGAGCGCCGCCCCGGCGGGGTCCAGCCCCCAGCCGGCCCCGCTCTGCTCCTTGACCTTGCCTGGGTCGCTTGCCAAAAAGAAGGGGAAAAAATCTAAATCCCGGGAGATGGAAAGAACGGCATTGACTTTCAGTCCATGCGCAGAGGAAATCCAAACCCACAATTACCGCTTGGGGCTTTATACATTGCATTGGATCTAAACACATTCCGCTGTTTACAACGGTATCGAATTAACTTAAAGAAATAACAGTTTGCGACAGGATTAAGGTACGAAAGTCATTGCGTGTTTGACTACGTGCAGTATCATTAAAAGGATAATGGGTAACGGGCCAATTACGAAATGACAAAATTGACACTTTATTTCTCCGAATGACTGGAAGCCTGTAATGCTGACCGTCGAAGCATTTACGGTGTTCGTCTCCGTCCTATTCAAGAATTTCCCCCCACCCGACACCAGCAAATCTAAAAAAATTCCTTCGAAATGTTGCTCTGACTTCATGAGAAACATAAATCAACATGGTGGCCGACTGGAAACGGCAACAAATCACCAGGCGCTATGAGGTTGATCCGCTTAGTAAATCATTCCCAAGTTTCCCTTGGCAAAAGCGAGTTTACACTCTTTTTTTCTCCAGCTGCGTGGCTGATCGAAATTCTCCACGACGGGTTGCTTAAATTTCCAATCTACCTTTAAAAAAGAAAACATGTATTGCTTTTCTTTTATTTCGAAGGCAATGGCTTTCCCATATTCTGCGCGGTAGGCGGGATTTCCCGACTGTCAATCGCGAACTTGGCTTGTCCAATCAGAGCAGCGTATTATGCGCAAATGCGCTGACGTATGACGACCACGTTGGTGGGAAAGCACTATTCGAGTGGCGGATTAAACGTGAATAATCCACTTTTTTTAAAGGCCGAGATTTTGATTAAATTATATGGGCGTATAAAGGAGAATGTATTCATCGAATACGTAAATCGGGCTGATTAATTATTGGTGTAAAATTTGGCAAATCTAGAACTACAGAGAATGAGCATGCTAGCCTAGCCCGTCGATACCGCTGGATCTGAACCACATACTTTTAACCCTACCCCCCAAGGGTGTATGTAAAATCGTATTGAAATTGGAGGATTTGGGACTGTTAAGGTTAAATTAATGCTGAAAACGGTGACGACGGCTTCACATCGACCATCTGTGGCCACGCCGCCGACGGAGTAATCCTAGAGTGCGTGTGAGTAACCTTGACAAGTACCAGTATCAAAGCATTTGCAGCCGGTATCATGAGCACATTAGCGTGGTACCCGACCACTACCCACCCATGAACATTCTTGTTCATGGCCAATTAGGCACGATTTCACCTGGATTCCAAGGAATTCCGAGACGCCATTCAATGCTTGCAATTTCATCAAGCTTCGGTTAATACACTTCGAAGTGCAAATTGCTTGGCGTAAATTTCCTTCACCGCGCGCGACTTGCGCAGGGAAGTGCTCTAAACGTTTCCCGTTACTGTCAAGAATTTCATAATCCACGCGGCTCAAACAAACATTATGGAAGTATGCACAGCAATTAAAAGCAGAATTAATCTTAATAGGATAACACCCACTGGGGCAGGTGAGGAAAAGTGGTGTGTTTAACAGAGTGGGTTCTACAGGAGAGGTGGCATTGAAAGACTACCGGTTATGTGACATCATTCACACAGCAGGAAAAAAACATGATACCAATAACGCCGAAATAGTTCAAAGATATCGGTACTGGGTTTCAGTGAGGTTGCATCTTTGGGTTGTCATGTTAAGTACATTATATCGTTGACGTCATTAACGTAAGTAATATTATAAATATGCATAATAAATCCTTCGGAATTGTTATAAATGAATAGTTTAAAGATGCTACGATATACATTTTGAAGTACGAAAAATCACTGACGGGGATACTTAAAGTAAGACATATCACAGACAAGATATTTCGCATTTTAAATATACATGTATACCTGCGGTGTGATGTCATTGGTACGACACATGTACGTGGTATCAGTGGGATGTCTTTTAAGGCGATGACTAGGGAATAATGGAGCGATATTCCACGTTATTTCAATGCTGTGATGCTATCTGTAGGATATTGTGGAAGTGGTGTCTATGAAACATAGGTGAAGCTTAGCAAATATCATTGAGGAGATATTATGCTATGCCTGTGACATAATGTTATCTACAGGATATCGTCCACAAAGGATAGCGATGGATGTCAGGTGAAACTTACAGGTCACCGCTGCAGTGGTGTATTTGCGATTTGCAAATGATGTTACAAATAAAATATCAACAGAAGGTGACATATTTCATTCTTATGCAGTTCACGCCATAAGAAAATACACTCCAGAAACACAAATCTGTTTCTCTACAAAATGAATCCCGATTACCCCGAATGCTTTCTGGTACTTGCAGGTATATGTAGTATTAATATTACGGATCATGTAGACACAAATGGAAAAAACAATATTGACTGACAATTTTTTTCCTGAAACTTTCCCTGGAAATACTTGGCAATTGATTCCAAATGCCAACACATAAATTTCAAATAAATACAAAAACAGGAAGATTTCTAGAGCAATGTTCTCAACCGATGGTGCCCCAGAAAGTTTCATTTCTATTCAGAAAAAACAACTTGGATGGCACCTGGATCACTGAGACTGTGTAAGCTCTGCTCTTTCAACAAAGGTCAAAGATGAAAGGTTACAGGTCATGCCGCCGACAAGAGATTTGCAGTAGCTGGACTTGCACAATACTTTTACCATCACACCTCAAAAAAAAACTCCACGAAGGCATATTAAAAACACTCCACCGTTTCTTGGGATGAAACTGCAGCACAGATGACCGCTCAAGAGGTGTCAAAGGGGTCAAAGGTGAAGCCTTCACAATGTCACACTCTTGTAGGCTCCAGTGAACCTTGACTGATACACCTGCAATTATTGACATGAAAATACACACAGAGAATTACAAGGGGGCAGTGGAAGGCTGACGAAATGGAATAAGCAGCATCAGCTCAGATGGGCTGCAGTAAGGTGATTGGAAGAACCCTTGGAATGAAACGTTACACCCTGGCTTAAGTTGCGAGCATGGACATTGCAAGAGAGGGCCCAAAGCTCTTGGGGGGGGCACTAAACACTCATCAGCAACAAACTGGCCGGCCATCAACAGTGGAAGAGGGTCAATTCCGAGGTATTTTCAGGCAAACTAGCGACTTTCCTGTTTCATCCTCCTTTTTCTTTTCTTTTCCATTTCTTTTCGGTTTTGCTTTTTCCCTTTTTCTTTTCGATTCTCCATTTTTTTCCCAGGGGGACAAGCCCCCCCCTCCAAACACTGTGACTTGCTGATCCCTTGCAACGATTGAGATATCTGTGACAGTATCAACAAAGAGCTAGGATACGGGGGATGCCTCCAAGCGGTTCGGGTCTGTGACTCTCGGTCACAGGGTTTAGGGGTTCAAATCCAGCTACGGGGCATGCGTTCTGACCTTGAGCGGCATCGCTTTTATACCCTACCTGCCTCCCTCCACCAAGGGATATAAATGGGTACCTGTGTGGGCAGAGTGGGTTACTGAGGTTGATTAGCCCATGGAGGAATAAGAACACCTTCCTCCATGATTAGCCATTTCCACCTGAGATGAATACTCTCCAGGGAGCTGAGATTGTTCAAAGAATGCTTCTTGGCAATGGCAGGCTGAGCAGGGAAAAAGAATGGTGGACAGTGCCCAGAGCACCAGTACTGTTGCATATGTCTGCATTATAAACATCTTCATCAGTTCACTCCATCCCTAGACTTGATTCCAGTCCCAATATCATCAGCTGCGGGGTGTCTCCTGCCACAAAGGCTCACACAAAATATGCATATCCCAACTTATGTTCCCTCCACTTTGACAATTAACCATTTAACGAAATAATTTCCTGTTCGTGAACCGTCCCCACTTTTGAAAAAAACTTAATGAGGAGTTTCTGTCATTAAATTAGGGAATGAAAGACTGGGATAGGATGTGGAGATACAGACCATGGGTAACACGTGCCAACTTGAATCGGAATCCCACTAGAATCAACCCTTTGTTTATTTCCCTTTCACTGATTCACCAGCTGCATATTAACAACGTCACCCCTTCGTCTGGCAGGCATGACCTGTTTGCAACACTAGTTTCTTAACTTTGGAAACTTCTGGCGTAAAAGTTTCTGACAAAGAATTTGTTATAATCATAAACTCTTTGCTGGTAAAAGCAAGCTTCTGATAGATGCAAAACCTCATCTCTTCCAAGAGAGGGATTTTTTTTTCTGCATAAGGACAATCCCTGCCTGCCCCACCTTTCTCCCAAGGACATTCCTCAAGTTTAATTTTAACTCCTGCCTTTTGCTGTGACACGGGGTGGTAAGGTGCACATTTACGCGACGACAGTTTATTGGTGGTCGTGATTCATCACAGTTCCACGGAATCTTAATACGCTCCCCCGGTACGAAAGCAAGACAATTAACACTTGTGAACATTTAACGAGGACATTCGGGGCGTAAATCACGTACGTGAGCCACCGTGCTGTAAATCACATCTTCCCACTTATTACAGTGCCAGACTTTTCTTAAAGGCATACACGCCGTCCACTAAAAGCCACAACTGAGTAATTCTGTCAACCCTAAATTTGGTGAGAATCTTGGCAAATTGAAGTTTTCCTTTTTCAGTGTAGTACTCAGGACTTGGGCCGAGTTTTTCCTGAATTTTGACTTTTTCATCCCCAATGTCTCCACAAAAAATATTACGAGTTTATGAAAATGAGATTCTGCAATAGCCCTAACATAGCAAAGAAAAATTTATCTTGTTTCAGCATTTCGGGTTTTCAAAGATGATACGATTTGATATAAAAAAATAAAATTTAGAAAGCAGCTGCTTAACATACAGTTACCCAAGTATAGATGGTATTGCAAAACTACTCACTGAATAAACTATCACTTAAGCACTGCAATAATCTATTACTCATGCACTGCACTAAACTATCACTTAAACACTGCACAAAAATATCACTTAAGCACTGCACTAACCTATTACTTAAGCACTGCACTAAACTATCATTCATGCACTGCACTAAACTATCACTTAAACACTGCACAAAAATATCACTTAAGCACTGCACTAACCTATTACTTAAGCACTGCACTAAACTATCACTCATGCACTGCACTAAACTATCACTTAAGTACGGCACTAAACTATCACTTAAGCACTGCACTAAAATATCACTTAAGCACTGCACAAAAATATCACTTAAGCACTGCACTAACCTATTATTTAAGTACTGCACTAAACTATCACTTAAGTACAGCACTAAACTATCACTTAAGCACTGCACTAAAATATCACTTAAGCACTGCACTTGTTTTACCTACACACAAAGCCTGCAGTGATCAAAGGAATGGATTACACGCAACAAACTAGGGAGCAGAGGGTTCATTTCGTCAAGCCAGAATGTTCAGAACAGCAGTATTCCATTGTTCTGAGATTCTGATTTTTAAGTTATAGATGACAAAATAACCTTCACAAGAATGCTGGCTTTACCAGAGTAACTGGACAGATGGTCAGACATCCCCCTCTCCCCCCAAAAGCCCTACTTCTTGACTTTCCACGTCAAGCAGGGATCACCCAACACACCCAGTAACCCAGTTGGCACACAGACACTCCCGTGGACCTCCTGACATTGTTTTCCTTCTGTCATCATCGGCAACTAGTTACCCAATTCTTGCCACACCGGCCCTGCCTCAAATCTGTCAACCGGTGCCCCCATAGGACCAGCTATCCTCCCCAGCATTTGCCACCATCTCTCCAGTGAATCAATTACAGGCATGCTAGACCAATGACTACCTCACTCCAGTTTTTTTTTTTTTTTCATCCTTCTTTTCTGTTTTTTTTTTAAAATCTGGCACGCATCGCGGGGACAATGCCTCCCCGGTCCTCCCAGACACCACTTAGTGAGGAATTAACATTGTGGCATTACACTATTCGATGGCAATGTCCTCTACTCAAACCCTGTGCAGGAGATCCTGCAACATCTTTTTCAAGGATTCCTCGTTTTTGTTGTCATCACCAGTCTGTAGGATGATAGGCATTCCATGAATTTTCCTTGGACAGACATGCAGTCCGCCCCATGGACAACTTGGGAGATTTGACACAAACCATGCTCAAAACCAGAATGAAGAGTAAATTTGCGACATCAGAAACTAGTTTACCATCAACATGGTGGGACTGTGGTCATAAAAAAAAAATGATTTCAAAATTGCTAGAGTAACCAAACATGAGTATGAACTCTTTATAGGAGGCAATAATTCCAGCTATTGTCTCCACATGCAAGATGACATCAGATGGGTCGGGGGGGGGTAATCGGAGATAATTTCTACACATACAATGCTGATCATCACATCAAGATTTGCCCAAAATGGCAATTCACATGAAACAAAGAAAGATATTCAAATCCTTAAGACCCTGATGCATTTAGCCAATTGATCGAGTGGATAAAAATGAGAAAGGTGCCTCGAAAGTCTTGAGAGATTCTCTTCAATTTGGAAGGCTGCCTCTGACAGCTTCCATCTTGGATCCAGAGGAGGAATGAGGGAGGGGCAGGAGAAAGGGTAGCATCATTTCTTTTAAAAGTGGATCGGGCTGAGTGCCCCATTTCCACTACCGGGACTGTGAGAATGCAGTATGCAGTACACTGCCTGTTCTGGGACAGGTGCGGAAGTTCACAGACTAGTCTTCAGAATGTATGGACAGCTGGTCCCCACAAGCTGAGTACAGTGAGAATGATTTTATTGCCCCCAGCAGCAAACTTCCCGGAACTACTTAGCTCAGAAATCCACTACACACAGAAACCTACTTGCTAGTCAGAAAAAGCTTGTTTACCAGCCACAATATCACACTTGAATGTATAGTGCTGGAGACAGGCTCTCTGTTGTTCTCTGCTAAGCACATATACTTGCTGGGCCCAAATCCACATTGCTCAGCAAATTGATGTGCGAAGCAAACATCTGCTGTGAACCAGTCAAGAGATATATTAAATGCATGCCATTTTGGTTGGTAACCTGCATTTGCTAAGGAGAAGTTTCCTTTGCTCAGCAGATTTCAGTATTTAGCAGGTCTATGAAACTGGCCTTACCACATTTTCACTATGCCTTGTGAAACTGGGTTCAAAATTGAATCCAGGGTTTCCCTATGGACATTTCACATTTCTCCAGTTTTCAGCAACTGCCCAAGCACAACCCCACAAAAACCATGACCGCTCAGTGGCCAAACGACTGGAACTCAACCTATCCCAGCTCTAGCTCTTACGTTAAATCGTCATCTCCAATGAGAGTGAAACATAAACAACCCAATATCAGGCCCAGCAATTGGGAACGAACTCGGCAACTGGATAAATTCGGGGCCCAGCGGCCCGCCAATTAGGGCCCTCCCACGAGGGAGGGACAATGACCCCCATCCCAGCCGGTTACTTCAGCAATTTTTTTTTTCTTCCAACTCCCAAGAACATTCCTTCAAGTCTTCAGAAATAGCTACATGGCCTGGAATCCTGGACTTGAACTTCGGATCACGGTCTCCACTTGTGTTGTTTATTTGCTTTATGGAAGGATGGTGAAGCTGAAGACTTGACGACAATTTATTTATTTACTCTTTTACAAGAATCTTTTGGTTGGTCCATTTGAACAAATCCACTATTCATGGTGAAACAAAAGATGACATTAACATGAAGACATTTAAAGGCAAAAGGGATGTACCGACTACATGGCTTTAACAATGACGATAATCGGTTTTCCATTTTCGAACTTGTATAAAAGAGCATAAGTTCAAAACTGAGAATGTAACTTGATTGTATAAGAATAGGTAATATGAAGGAGTAGAATGAAGTGACCACTACAAGTTTTGAAAATGTTATATAGGGTAT